CTCTGGCAATGCACCTTGCACCATAAAGTCGGGCGGTTATGTACGGCCTGTAGCAGCGTAACGCGGCGGTGCAGGCCGAGATATAAGACAGATGTTGTCCCGAGGAGCAAATAAAACCGAGAGAAAAGGAAGCGAAACGATGACAGGACAGCGGCGACAACGACGAGCGAAGCTACCGCCTGCCGTCGTTCCGTTCCACATCCATTTACCTTTTGCATCGTTCGAGTAAAAGCGAGAAATCCGGCCAAGGGAACACGCTGAATTTTGTACGACGCGCACAATTAAGAAAGCAATTTAAATGTAGAGAACATACTTGGTATACTCACATTTCCTTTTTGCACAAACAGAATAATTTTTCGAAAGCATTAAAAAATTTAGCTAGATACAGATCTAAAAATAATTTTATTAGATTATTAAAATAATTATGTAGGACACTCACACAAACATGATAAGTAATTCTATAAAATGTAAGATTGCTGGAATGTTTTGACAATATAGCAATCAATTTTAGTGTCCCATATAATTATAATATATACTTTGATAGTTTAACAAAATTATTTTCAGATTTGTATTTAGCTTAATATTTTTAAATACTTCAGCAAAACCGTTTGTTCTGTATGCAAATTATAAATTAAAAACGATAGACCTCGAATTTCAGGTAAAACGCAGAAGTTATAATAATATCATAAGAATGTCATCATAACTTTAATTGTCGTTTATAAATTACTTCAAAGTTCACTTGAAGTCATAATGATGTCATTACGATTCCGTGTTCCAGGGCTGCAGAAGTGCGACTTCTTCTTCTTTTCTCAATTTTGAACGACGACATTTTCTTATGAGATCTTTCTTATGCATCTTCGCGGAATGAGAAACGATCGACACACCGAGGCTCGTTGAGAGTCGAACGATGCCGTACGCGCATTTGCGGAGATTGAAAATTTTGCACTCATGGTGCCGTTAAGCAACGGTGCATCTCGCTGCATAGTCGACGAAATTGTCGTGCGACATCAAGCGATCGTAAATAAGCATCATTCGAGCTCAAGCGCAGCAGATCGGATCGATACAACAGCACGATAATTTCTTAGCGACGGAAACGTAACACCGAGAACGCACAGGTCACGTTTTCGTGCACGTAATTCCGACTCAGTCGAAGCTAACTGCATTGCCTGCATTCCGAGTCACTGCACTTTCCAACGATCGCCGGCCGCCGGTCTCGTACAGGTCGCGTTTTCGTTCTCCAGAGAACTCATGGAGTGAATGCCGATTAAGAGTCAACTCACCTAGGCGTTACTGAAGATAATCCAGCGGGATTATAGGAATTCATTCCTTTGCATCCTCAGGAAGAATATCATGAATGATCGATGAATCTGCGGTTCATTATTAGAGATATAATCTGAGATCCGTAACGGCGATCTGTCATATCTTTTCCTCCTCCCCGCACCTTTTTTGAGAGGAATTTATCGATGGAATTAATAGTGACACGCACAATACGCGCTCGCTTACAGCTGCAAAGCGGCGATTTTGTATGTTAAGTTAACGGTACAGTAACGGTCGCCGTACGCGGATATTAACTGTACGATCTTTAATGCTGCCGTAATCATTGGCCCATTACTTAAATTACTTGCTGTCGTTATTAACCGCAAGAGAGATATGCATTGCACCGTAATGTCAGGCGCGACGCGTGCACGTTACATCGTTAGTCGACTATAATTAAGAATCATATTCCATCGATTGCTCATGAAATGGATCTAGCAATTGTTTTTTTCACTTTTTATTATTACAAAAACTCTTGACAATATATTTATTTTATTATTATAAGTATTCAATAATAAGGACTGTCCAAGAAAAAATCTTCCCACACAAAAACTCATATATCCTCCAAATCACTTGATCGATTTTGAAAAGCAAACCCATTTTAGAAACATCTTTTAATTATAATTAAACTACATAAAACTATATTTAAAAAAATTCTTAAAAACTACTTTTGACAAAAATTTTTAATTTTTTCTAGACTCCTCTCCATCATATTTTTTATGGTGGTCTCGGTCACTTCCTCGGATGCTCTCTTTCTTCGCTGTTTTTGGACTCTGAAAACCCTTTTTTCTTCCAGATTCTTCTTTTAATCGGTTAATCAAGTCTTCCTTGAAACACCTAATGATTATTGACATCGTTTTCGTGCAAACTCCCGCCTCCTATGGATTTGCGTGTTTCTATTTCACTTGCCATTTTGCAACTGAAAACAAAGCGATTACGAAATTAACTGTTTCAATCGTTTCTTACATTTATTGCAAAGCCTACTAAATTAAAAAATTGTTTTTTTTTTTAAAGTGATTTGGAGGATATGTGAGTTTTTGTGTGGGAAGGTTTTTTCTTGGACAGTCCTTAAGATAATTAAGATCGCTTATATACATACATATGAATAAATCAAAGTAAGGAAAGAGCCAGTACAGTCGAAGTTGGATCTTACAATTAATAGAATTATTCGTAGAATATATAATATATTGGTATATTATCAAGATTCAATTATTTAAGCATTATAGATCTAATTTTGATCGTGACAGCCATTATTTTTATTTTTTATTATTAAATTTTCAAATGTAAAATTCTTAATATTACCTTGCCTGAAAAGAAAGATTTCATACATATATATGATTATTGCGAAGAATACTACTAAAGTCAAGGTAGTCAAAGACTTAAGATGCTTGTACGGAATACAAAAGATCCAGATTCAACTCCCGGCCGAGGTAATATTTTTCGAAGTATTAAATATTTAATAAATTTATTTATAGTTTTCCAACATATTAATATCTTTATAATATGATGCCTGATTGAGCATCAAATTATTAAAATTGCTTGTCAATTTAATTCGCGATATTATTATAGTAGTTTATAGTCTGGAAAAACAATTCGGTACGCAATTTGAATGACTACAAATATATATATATATACATACTTGCATATATACCATTTTTGTAGTCCAGTCCGGACTATAAACTACTGTGATAATATCACGAATTTACATACAAAAAAATATTATTAGGCACTAAGTTCAATAATAAGAAATAGAAATAATGACCGTAAACCAAAGCTAAAATT